GCATTCCTCAATTTTCCTGGTAATTTTCTGCTGCCCCTTTAATTTTGGTTTTAGTTTCTGCATTCCTTCGTGTTTCCGCCATTGTGTACGAAGGTTTAGGGTTTTCAACTCGTGTTTTTCTATATCGAAGATGAAACTCGGATGCCTGTAGGACATTTAGATTATCACGTCCTTATAATCGCTAATTATAATGAGTATTTGGTGGGCTGTTCCTGAATCGCAAGTGTGGTTGGTTACGTAGTGATGGATTGGATTGTAATTTGTAACCGATGAGGTTATTAGGGTTTGCTAAGTGCTCGATGGATTTTCCAGGTGAGAACTGCTCTTTAAACGTTTTGGTTCCGCAACCAAAACAAAAAAAATAATTATGCCTATTCGTCCTTGTTGTTCAACTATTTGTGTTGTTTTTTTGGGTAAAAAAATATGAACTGAATTCATGAAACTTTGTACAAGAAATTATCCTTATGGTTATAGACACTATAAAGCTTACTCTGAGATCAAATGGGACAAAACGGCCAAATTAGACATAGGGTTTAGAGACAGGTGCGGATGAAGTAGTACAAAGGATTTAAAGAGAATCCCGTGTGTTTAGCCTTAATTTATGAACTGGTTAGCAAGATAGGTATCTGGCCCTCCAAGAACTGCAGATCTGTCCCAGCCAGCTGCATATTGACTTGAGCAACCTGTTGTCTTCTCCATTTTTTGCCTCCTTCGAGATCCTTTCATAATTTCAATCTGTATTTGATAGTAAAGGGTCTTGCTTGAATTTATAGTTGAAGTTGTCTTGTTTTGATTATTTCCTTGACAGATACTAAGATTCCTTATAATTTTGTTCCTGATGAACGATAAAGACTCCATGTTTTACAGTTCGTTTTAGTTTTTGATTCCGTCTGTTTATGATCTTGTTGACGCTGAGTCTAGCAAAAATGGCGCTCTTCTTGTTTTTTTTAATAAATGAAATGTGGGTAGTGTGAAAGGTTATGATCTTCTAGAGGTCGACAGTAGTTGAATGATTTTTCCGAAACTGATTCGATCGTGCATCTTGTAACCGGGTACCAATAATTTCCAGAAGCAGCAAAGAGCCAGCAACAAGAGATCAGTTCAGAGGCATCCATCAGCAAGAAGTTTATCCTCTTGTCAGCATGGACCCACAGCATGATGCGAACGATACACTGAAGTGTGTTTCTCCATATCCATCTCGTTGCATTCTAAGGTAGACAATTCTACAGTGTCATTGGTAACATGTTTGTTTTTTTTTTGTCACAGGCATTTGGAGAAACAAAATGATTTGCTCACAGAATCTCATAGGGCCATGACAGAGGAACTCCGAAAACTTATGGTTGCTCCTTGATACTTGAAGTGTTCATTTACTAACATCATTCTCATATAAAACACAATTTTTGTTTAAAAATCCCTAGGTAGTGGAAGGGTGACTTATTATGCTTCCAGGGAACATAAATCATACTAGATTTATTTTCTCCTTAAAAAAAATTCAACTCATACTAATTGGAAAATGATAAAAGGGGACTCTTTTAAGGAACAGGAGAGAAAGAAACAACGATTGTTATGATTCGACTGACAACTGGGTTTGCAGGTGGAAGAGCAGATGCTGATGGAGAAATTCTATGAACTGATGACCGCTCATGTCCTAATTAAGAAGGTATGAACTATTTCACAAGGTTATTATTCGAGATTATAGTTATTGTAATCGGAATGAATGCCTTGTTTACATTGCTGTAGAAAAAGGAAGGACAAAATGTGGGGGAGGGCAAGGAAGTAGTGGTGGCCTCTTCTTCACCAATTGTTACTTGTGGCGACAAACAGTGAAGAAGTGACACAACCCAACCCCGTCAAGGGTTTTTTTTAGAACAAGAGAGGAGCAGATTGGTTTTTGTAATTCGTTAGGACAGGAGGATAGTAGTTCTCAAAGCATTTGTCTATGCATATTTATGTTATATTATGTGTTGGGACATTCCAATAGATAGAGCGGATTCTGGCAATTTCTAACGGCTCGCAGTGTACCAAAGTTTCATTTAAAAACGAGTTATTGTTATTTGGACAGTTAGAAGTTGATTAGCAGTTTAGTTTGGGATCTTTACGAATGGATGAGACTGGTTGGTGGTTTTATTCCCAAAATCATATCCTCGAAGGCAGAAAAGAAAAAAAATGCGGTTTATTAGATCGATATGCTAAAAAACAATGCAACGCAATTGTTAACAACACAATCAGAGTGGCGCAGCGGAAGCGTGGTGGGCCCATAACCCACAGGTCCCTGGATCGAAACCAGGTTCTGATAATGAGTGGCTTCCGTGCTTTATTTTTGCACGTCATTATTTTGAGTGCCAACCCAGCGAAACCGTTAACTTCAATATTCTGAATTTCCGCTCCAAAGGCAGTCATACGTCAACGATGGGATTTTTTACTCAAATGGCTGATTTGGGTCGCAACTATTTCACGCGTACACCACAAAAAAACATAACACATTAATATTTTTTGAAAAGACGAAATTATCCTTAATGAAAACACGATATTTATCCGTTCGAAAACAACATTCGTTATTACGACTTCGTAATTAATTCTAAAAATGGTGGCAAAAAAGTTATAATTGATTCTAAAAAAGATGACAAAAAAATCATCTGCCTTATTTTAGTTGTATATCGGAAAAAATAAAAAGAAAAGGGTATTTCGGACTTTTTCAATCGAAAAGTGGGTTAAAATTGAAAAAAAAAATTGTTTTTTTTCGGTGGTGTACAATGGAATAGGTACGACCCAAGTGGGTCATTTGAGTGATTTTCCCTCAACAATGGTCTTTTCCTCATTTTTTTTATAATTCTAAACTTTGTTTTTTTCCTATTTATCACTAGAAAAAAATTATTATTAGTAATATAATACAAAATTCATCTGCAAACGCTGCGGGTCTACATTTTCATGAACTCGGTGTGATTTAATTATATCCCACGGCTAAATGGTTTAATTAAGAAATCGCGTTCTCTTTACAAAGAATTTGCAATAATTAAACCGAGTTCTCTTTACAAAGAATTTGCAACTATTGTACAAAGTATCTGATACAACACACACACAAAAAATCTTCGAACCATATTTATATCCATATCTTACATAACTTATGATAAACCTGTAACCTGATTCTATAATCTACATCATCTCTCTTAACTTCAAATCATAAAAACCACTTCGGTTGTCTGTAAAAAGAAAGGCGATCCTCCGATTCTCTTTGCGCTCAACACATTCTTCACCAACAGTTTCCACCTCCTTTCATCTTTCTTGCTTTGTTTCTTCATCCTCTCCTTGAAATTCCTACCCCAATAAAAAACCAAAAACTTCCGAGTCAGATCCCGAACTTATACATATATATATATATATCAACAGACTAAACCCGCACGATAGTAGTCATCGATCATAGATGTTTACCCGCAGAGAGGGACCTTGCATTGTTCTGAATCCACACAAAGACGAGAATGCAATTCAAGAAGCTGCCACATTCTCTTGCAGTGACTGCACCCTCCAGGAACCACTCTTAGCTTGCATCCTGCAAAATGTCTTAGTAGCATTTCCAGCCCTTTGCACGCCGCTGAATACCCGCAGCATTGCTCTTTCCCCTCGTTTATGTCTTTGTTCTTTGGACCTATTGTCCTGCATCCCTCTCTGCATATATGAACAAATGCTTCCATTGTTTCGTATAGCTGCGTGTATATCTTCCGTTCTTTCTGTTTCCTGATTCTCTGCTTCTGTCTCTGCAGTAAAATTGGAGGATATTTGCATCAGAGTTCAAGATTTATTCTTAAAATGCAGATCTTTTTGGGTGTTAAGAGGATTCTTACGTTTTGTTCGTAAGCCACTGATCTTGAGAGCTCCTTCTCGAGTCTCGGGTGGCTTTCCTTCATTGCTTGCCATCCTTCAGAGGTGGAAACTTCTTCGAGGTTCTTTAAAATTATCCGGTGACAGAGAAAGCCGAGGCGTGGAGTATCACATAGCAGCGCGAGCTGAAAGACGTCGATTACGTTGTCTTTGGCTAGTAAGCCTTTCTCATAGTGCCACTCACATAGCTTTTTCAGATGTGGAACCACGTAAACATGCGACAGCACCAGCAAATGCATAGCAAAATCCTCCATATCTTCTTTCTCGTAGCTGCAGAACCGGCACACATTAGTATAAACACAAGAAGATTTCCAAATTTCCCTCTTTTTTGACAACACGATGGAGAAGAACATTTACCGGGAAGAGTACAAGAACCGGATGAAAATTTGAACAGCCTCTCGTGGAACGCCACGGATTGATATCGATCTCCAATGACCTTTTCTCTTTGCTTGCTTTATCATTCCTTTGATCACATCCGAAGATGCTTCCTATTAATAAACAGATGGAATAAGATATCAATCTGATGCAACAAATGTTTTTGGAGATAAATAATCGAGTTCTAGATGACGAAAACTCACGAGGACATTGGCGTGCGCATAAAGTAATCCATTGCCATCTGTATGGATCATTACATTGCATCCATAGCCTTCATCAAACATTCGGTCCCAGGAATCTTTTGTAGCAGTAGGTAAAAGGCTTTGACTTCTTTGTATCCATTGATCCGTCATATTCCTTTTACAGATATTTGATGATGCAAGAGGCTGTGGAGGCGGCGGAGGTGGCGGTCTTACTGAAACCTCTGATCTGGAACGCTCCGGAGATCGATCATCAATGTTCTTCATCTCTGACTATGAGGCTTAACTTTCTTCTGCAACAAGTCAGCCGAGAATCAGAATCAATTTGGTTTACAGATAAAACTTGAATGAAATTTTCAATCCACTGGGAAGAAATCAGGAGGAAATCTAAATCGGCTCAAACTTCAGAGTTCACCGTCAGGGTGGATAGTTTTTCATCATGTTAAGTGTGCATTGTGAGATCTGCAGACGTGGAAGAAATTCAAATTCGATCCACTCATATCAATCCGCCCGTCTAAAACCGATCTAAGTCGTTGCATCAGAAACATGAAATTCATAATTGATAACCCTAGAGAATCAAACTTCCGAAATTTTCAATGATCGTTCTTCATTTGCTCCACCAAATCCGAAAATGCAGAGCCGCGTAATATGCGAGAAGCGAACCGGAAACACGAAAAAAAACACAGAAATCTTACACGAGGTTATGAATTGGAACGCAGATCCGAAGAAATCAGCCAAATTCAAACTCCACTTTCAGATGAGATCAGAAGCAAAAAGCAGATAACGCTTTCTCTCCTTCCACGACAATCGATCGACGACTAAAACTTCTCGCGCAAATGGTCAGAAACCTATCTCATCTAATTCTCCTCCTCGATCTTTATGATCCTTGAGAGTTTCATCCGAGAAAAATCGCTGTTTGTTTCGCAGGAAAACGGGAAAAACAAAAAGAGAGTGCAACGGAGCGGGGGGAGAGAAGAACTAGCGGATATATATATACATATATGCATTTAGCTTTATATGAAACTTGCTTGAAACGAATGATCTGTTAATGACGCGGCACTTATCAATTCCGTACGCGGATAAGTCCTGCTGATTCATATCCACGTCGGACGCCCCCTCCCCCATCACTCCCTTCTATTTATTTTATTTATTTTCATCCAATTTTATTTTTATTTTTTTGGTAAACTTCATCCAATTTTATTTCTCAACGTTTTATCCTAATCCGTTATTTTCCGATTTTTGTAATTAGTGTTAGTTGTGCGCCGACACACACTCTGCCGTTTTTCCCCTTAGCTGCTTGTTCTTTTTCTGTCTCTTTTACAAACATATTCGCCAACTTAGTGTACATGTATAGATATCTAATAAAATTATTTATTAACGATACTGAAATACGTTATTTTTATTCAGAATATACATCTTTGTATGTTTAAATATGATCCGAATCTTATGTCCTACAAGTATGCTGACATGATACCCCTACTGTATATGTACATAAAATTAAAATCCAAGTCGACGGTGTTAAGGAAAATCAAATCTCGTATTTTATTTGTTAAGATACCCAAAATATTCCCTGGATAGTCAGATCCTAGTCATGTCTCATGTATTCACATTACATATACACACACACACACACATATATATATATATATATATATATATATAAGTATAGATCAAGGGGGTGTGTATAAGTTGGTCGCACGCCAGGCTCTTCAATATATATAAGGCCATTGCTCTCTCTCTATCTCTCCTTGTAACAAATATTGAATCTGACAAATTAACAATTACTTATCTTTTTTTTTTGTAGTATTTTATACATTGTCCATTGCGGTATTCAGAAAAATCTAAAAGAAAAAGAAGAAGAAAATTAATGATTTATGACGTAATATACGTAGGCATGCGGTCAACTCTTTATTTCCGAAAGCTAGTTAGTTAAGTTGTCCACTTCTTGTATATTGGTGTCATCATTGGGCCTCAATCACCATAAGCCCAATGAGCCTCTATAATATTTGACCCAATAATTTTTTTAAAAAATTGTGTCAACAACAACAATAATAATAAGAATAATAATAATAATAATAATAATAATAATAATAATAATAATGATGATGATGATGATGATGATGATGATGATGATGATGATGGTGGAAGGAGGAATGGGACAAGGGTAATAAATAATAAGTTTGGAGAGGGAACCTCTTGTGGTTTGTTTGCTTGCAATGAAATGATAATTGCTTGTTGTCTTCAACTTCCTCTTCTTGTTATTCAAACCATACACCCTCTCTAGAGGCACTCTTACAAAATCTAACTCCATAAAATAATCTTCACTTTCTCGTTTGTATAATACTTTTTTTCAACTACTGGCCTAATCACAATTAAAAAAAAACTATAAAATAGAAAAACATAAATAAAATATGTCGTTTATTACATCTCCGTAAATTTATAATTATTTTTCTTTTTTTAGTCCGAAAATAATATAGATAAACTTATATTTTATGAAGTACCTGTATTTCTTTTTGCCAAAAAAAAAGTATGCGTATTTCTCCATTAAAATTTTTACGCAATTATTTTTTTTTTATAAAAAATCGATATTTTTTAAAATTTTAATAAAAATACACAGACAGTTGTGATATTTTTTTAATCCACTCTTATAATGCGTCCCACCTAACTCTTTCATGAAACATGTTATACTTCAAAAAAATATATTATTTTTTAAAAAAAGAAAGAAATTATTTATCCAACCTGTAACCAAATAAATCGGACATGTACACACACGTCACATAGAAAGATACGGTCAAAGTTTGACCACCTCGGAATCGTAAAATCAAACTCAGTAAAAGGTTCCACTTAGAGCCCCAAGGCCAAGGGGAGTTAGACGTAACATTGCGATATTTATTTGGAAGGACTTTATACTATAAAAACTCCAAAAACCTTATTGTAAAATAATAATGAAAAAAAAGTTTTTATATTAAATGTTAAACATCACATCATATCATATGGTTATTTTGGATTATTATTACAAAGCAGAGATGGAGCGTCGTCTTGTTCATTCTGGGGCGGTCCAGCCTTTCACACGTGATGACGCTCCTCCCTTGCAGCTCTGGTCACGTGCGCCATCATTCCACCATCAAGGTTTTTTTTTCATTATTATATTTTTTTTATTACTCTAGGGACCGGGTTTCTTAACTTCCCTTGTTTTGCTATATAATATAATTAAATTAATATTAGAAAAGAAATCTACGAATTTGGTATACTAAATTAGCTAACTTTGTAAAAAATAAATGTGATGAGAAGATAAAAAAAATATTCAGTAGTTTCATTTTGAAAGATTGAACATACGTGTCCCATGCTTTTACGAACAACCATAACTTACAGTAATTGTAGAGAATTATATTTATAATAGATAAAAATCGGATTGGGCGATTTCATAGTGACACGTGTCTTTTATATTCCATTTTCGTCCTCCAAACTTTTTATTCTCTGTTTTATCTTTAAATATAGTTTAATTATATCTAATTGCATATTTTTTTTGCTAAATACGATTAACCTAGATAATTAGAAATTAAGAGAGAATATATGGTTTAAATTTGATCATTGATTATGTGATGTTGTATTCCAGTTTGTCATTATATTCCTCCTTAGACCATAGCAATAGTATCTAATTAGATTTCACTTTGTTATTTCTGGAATATTTAAACTATTAATAAAATTAAACCCCTATAGAAAAATGTATCGTGTATTTATTCGAAGAAATTCAAAATTCGTCTAAGATGACATATTTGCCATATGTATGCCATGTTTTATTTATTGCATACATTTATATATATATATATATATATATGTATATATTGCAAAGAATTTATTTTTGTTTAGATAGCGCACTTAAAATTCTAATTGGTTTTTTAAATGTAACCGCTAAATAACGCCCCCTCTCTCCCCACTTATGTTTGGCGGCACCAGAACAGGGAGACGCACACAGTCTCTCTCTCTCTCTCTCTCTCTCTCTCCCCTCCGGATTTTGCTCCGTTTGATTCTTGTACTCGGTTTCGCTAGATTTCATCGGTCTAATCATCTAAGGAAATTGAGAAAACGAAGATTTTGCTGCTAATTCACTGCGAATACAGTCAATACCCATGTCCCCAATTTCCCCTTTTTATCCTCCGATTTTCTAGATGTGTACGGAACATCGGAGATCACTGTCGTCTTCGTTTTCGTCGTGGTGGTTGTCAGATGGGTGACAGCGGCGGTGCAGGTAGTGGCAGTTTCGCTCTCTCCAGTCTCCTCCTCTGTCATGAAACAGAGTCTTGCCTGAACGAGGAAGAACTCCACGATGACGAAGATCACGAGACCAACGTCCAAGCTTGGAGATCGGCGCACGACCCGTGTTTTGTCTCTGTGGGAGATGACGAGGAAGAGTATTTGTCGGAGCTGGTTCGGAGAGAGACCCATCGAGTCGGATCCGTACCCGATGAACCGGCGTCGTCTTTTGCTGGCTGTACGGTCCCTGGCTCTGTTTGGTTCAGATGGGCCAGATTGGACGCCATCGATTGGATAATCCATGTTCGTACTCTCACTCCTCAAAAACCCTTTTATCTCTCTCCTTTTTTCCGGTCTAATGTGGAAAATTTCTTCGTTTCCGATTCAGACGGGAGCAAAATTTGGGTTCGAACATCAAACAGTGTATGTGGGAATTTCCTATTTCGATCTGTTCCTTTCGAGAAGATCCATTGATGTGAGCAACTCAATCGACTGATTCTCAATCTGGAATTTCTGTTTTCTGGGTATAATGTTTTTTTCTGGACGATTGGAATTTGTTTTGCAGGAGGGAAAAACTTGGGCGATTCGGTTGTTATCTGTTGCTTGTTTATCATTAGCGTCGAAAATGGAGGAATGCAGGGTTCCGGGTTTATCAGAATTCCCATCGGAAGATTACGTATTTGAAGCCAAAGTGATTCAGAGAATGGAATTCTTAGTACTCACAACGTTGGATTGGAGGATGAACTTGGTCACTCCTTTCACTTACTTGCATTACTTCGTTTTCAAGTTCATAAAAAATGAACCTTTCGCAAATGGGTTGTCGTCAAGAATCTCCGAATCTCTTCTCGAGATGACAAAGGGTAATTTCTCTCAATACCCATGTCGGATGATTTCCAAAGATACAGTCTTAAAGCACGAGTTCTTAACGATGTTTGGTTTCATTGTAGTAGAGATCAGGCTGAAGGATCATCGACCGTGGGTTGTCTCTGCTGCTGCAGTCTTAGCTTCATCATTTTCTAAATCAACGAGAGAAGATTTTGGGACGAAGCTTAGCTCGCTACCGTGGTGGATATCCAGTGAGAATGTGAGTTCGAAGTGTACATCTTGGACGCACGTTTCGATCAAATCTTGTTCTTTTTTTACTAAAGTGGTGATCTTGGACTCACATTTTGAGATCTGGGTGCAGGAGAATGTGTATTCGTGTTATCGGATAATGCAGGAGATGGAAGAGAGCAGACAGAGGACACCGGAATCAGCCATTTCCCGGGAAAAACAGTTGGTGAATCCGATCGGTGAGGACTCTTGTTTGGAATCAGGATCCGTCTCTAAACGCCGCCTCTCGTTCGATGGTTCCGATGATTTCTCTCCGGCCAAGAAAGTGCGTCGGTCTTAGGATGTTCTTGTTGATCTTGGATTGATTGATTCTGTTTTGGTTTTATCCCAAAGTCAATTGGTTATAGCGAAGTCGAATACCATATGGTTATTATATTTCATTTCATTTTTTTTTTCAAGTCAATTGGTTGGTGGTGTGAGCGTCTTTACTCAGCACAGCAGTGTCATGGCATTGACGATCATGGGGGCTAAACCGCAACCATCAAAACTATAGGGTCTTTTCTGGGATAGCTGAAGAAATATTGGGGGGTTCGCAGAAAGGAAGCTAAAAGTAAATATATGAGGGAGAAGAGTCTTATTAGGCAATGGTTGTGGTCATTTGTTGTTCTCTTTGTGCTCCTATTTGCCTACAAATATCAACCCCTTCTTCTTCTTCTTCTTCTTTTCCCTCTTTTATTAATTTTTCTTTATCCAACTTTTTTCTATTTTCAATATGTTTGATTTTTATTTAAATGTGGTGGGAAACACAGGATTTTGTATGAAAGTCCATCACTTTCCCATCCCTTGGAACTTCTGAAACTTCTGATTGGTGGATATGCTTTGTCCTGTGTCTCTAAAGGTTCATATAGCCAATGAAGAATGAAAGGATCCTCTCTTTTTTTTTTTAAAAAAAAAAATAATGTTCTTTCTTCTCTTTCTTTGGTTTGATTCAACTTTAGGCCATTTCAAAAGATTCTGCAAAGTGAATCAATCTATGGATAGTACACGGCAAGTCTGTGAAATCTTTTAGATCAGACAATGCTCGTGAGCTAGCTTTTCCCTCTCTTGTTTCTCAACTTGGCATCGTTCACTACCTCTCTTGCCCTTATACTCCTCAACAAAACTCAGTTGTTGAGCGAAAACACCAACATATCCTAAATGTTGCAAGATCCCTCTTGTTTCAATCCAAGTGTTGATATTGTTGGTATGATATTTTGCTTTGGAGATAATTTTTTATGGATAGATTCGGATCTGAAGGTGGTTTTTTGTACATGGATTAAGATCTAATTGTATATGGATGGATTAGGATCTGAAAATGGTTTTTTGTACATAGATGGATTATGATTTTATCTATTTGAAATGATTTTTTTTATATGGATTGTGATTGTGAATATAAGTATGATTTGGATGTATTGGTATGTTCTTTTTATATTGATATATCATTTGGATATGATTTTATATAATTTGATATGATTTTTTTAGGTATTTAGAAAAATATGAGCCGGCTCGGAAGCTGACTCGCGAGCTAAGCGACTTGGGTTGAGTCAAGAATTTTCTGACCCAAATAAAAATAGACTTAACGAACTGGGCTGAAAATGAACTGGCTCGAAACGGGCTGGTCCGAGCCGGCTCGTTTGACATCCCTCATAGTACTACTTCAAGTTCTTTACTTGCCAAAAGTTACATGAGATATTTATCTATTATTCCCACCAATGATGAGTTGTGAATGGGGGTAAAAATGGGCAAATGACCAATGTGTACAAAACCAAGGCCCTTAACCATTATTCTTGTTTTTGTTGTTATTACATTAACATTAGATTATAATTTATTTTTTCCCTTGAGACATTCTACAAATCAAGAAGTACAGACATTCTTTCATAATGTACTGTGTGGTTAGGCCAATGTGATTTCCTCCCATAAAGGGGTCACTCTTTTCATTGATTATTTGTTGGACCCAAAAGTAGGGTGTAAAACGTGGCCGGCTCGCGGATTGGTTCGAAAAATCGACTCGTTTGGCTCACGGATTAAGGCGATTAGAATTGGGTTGATCTATTTTTGTCTTGTTAAAAAAATTGATTGGATTGGGTTGGACTAAAATATTCCCGGATTGAAACAAACCGGACTTGGCTGGACAGGCCTGCCCATTTTACACCCATATCCAAAAGTTCTATTTAGTAAATATTTCTCCTCGGTCCTTACACTGAAGTAAAGTATAAAGCTTGAATCGCAACTTGTACTAAAATTTAACGGAAGAAGATACGGTCAAAGGAGTTGTAGATATATCTCTTGACTTGGTTTGACGGAGATTAGATTGATGTCAGAAGAGGCTCCACCAAAGCCACGTGGCATTATGGAGGGTCTTTACTCTTTAGGAATAACAAAACACAGTCTGGCGGTCGTACAAATCATTGTCTTCTTCCTAATAAGCCTTCGCTGTTCTTTCTTGTTTGGTGTTTTTTTCTTCTTCTCTGTGGTTCTCAATGATCTTTTTTATGTCTTTTATTTCTCTGCAATTCTCTCAGTTGGTCCAATCTTTGCCAAGACAAGACTCATCTTTAAGTCTTCTGCTGTTCTCCCCTCAGACTCTGTCCCAACATCAAACAACGTAACGAAACCAGAAAATGAATCTCATTTCACTACCAAAAAAAAATATCATCATATGATAACAACACCTATATGATCCGTGTTAAAACCCAGAGTATAAATCTCATGAATGGTGGATTGGATTCTTTTATCCAGACCCATCTTCAGACACTTTCATCATCCCCCGAATGAATCAAACGGGTATCCTTTTGAGACCAGCGGCGGTAGGCATGCCCAAGAAGCCGATGAATGTACAGAAGAGCCACTGGCATATAGTGAGGGGAGTGGTGCTGGCAAATGTTCCCAAGAACTCGATGATTATGATCTGGAAGAAGACAGTGCAGCCGAGAACAGCCACAAACACGGAGTTGTCCAATATTCCCTTGAAAACGTCGATCTCTCCCATCTCCCGCGAGCTTATCTCATTGAAAACCTGAGAGGAACAAAATCCTAAAGTCATTTCCACCCTCTCTGGTTTCGACACCAGCATAAAGGATCATACGTTCTGGTTTGATCTTGATGATATTATGTTACCTGACATAAGAAGACGAAACAGTTGAAGATAAGGGTGTTCAATATCAGAATGAAATCTACACCGTCCGGACCAAACATGGATTTTCCTTTGGCCTGGAGAATCCAGATGACGATGAACTGAAACAGAGCCTGTCCCAAGATGTTCCTCCACATCACGTTGGTGATGGAATTGGCTCTCCTTCCAACAGGGAAGCGTTACAACAGATCTTCATTCGGTGGCTCAGTGGCAAGAGCAAGAGCTCCAAGTGTGTCCATGATCATGTTCACCCACAGCAGTTGAACTGCCGTTAGAGGAGCACTCCCTGAAAGTTTATTACAGAATCTTGTTAAAAGTTTCACAGATGGAATCTTGAAAATCGAAAGGTTTTCTTCTGTTTACTTACCGGTCAAGCAAGCCCAATAGACGTTAACAATCAGCGCGCTACAACATTGACCGTGAGCTGGTTAAATTTCTGGTTGTTGATCTAAACTGAAAGTCCAAATTCAGACAATTTCTGGACGTGAGTACCGAGATCGTTAAAAATAACCTGGACCCGAACTTGCGGTCTGAACTCTTGACCTCATTGCACCTGTCTTTGGTTTTGGTGGTTAGCAAATATCCGTATCCTGGGTACCCGCGAGACCGGACCGGATATCCGAAAACCTACGGTTCTCAGGTGCCCATGCCCACCCCTTAATTAGCACGTATTACAGCGACAACAATTGATAACGAACGTCATACAGGGAGGAACCCGAGAATGTATCCGTTATTATAACGATGATTCGAATTCATGACCAGGGAGGGCGGGCAAGCATAAATATCCCCGGAAAGAGAATTTCAGATTTGCAATTATAGTCTCTCCTCATTGAGCCTTTAAACATTTTTTATAATTAGAACCAAATGGTAACAGATTTTAGTTGCCATTCGCCTCAAGCATCACAAGAAGAGCCTCCACCCATCACAGATTACCATTATGCATAGAGAAAGGAGACAAGGTTGAAAGTTTGTTGGACGGTGTTTCAGTTTCAGACAGTTCAACACCTTCCCAAATCTACCAACTCTAATCCTAGTTTTACGAATCAAAAAACCATGCAAATATATTATGAATTATACTACGAAAAGTATTCCTGTAAGATACGAACAAAAACACTCATACTATCTCAAGAAAGTCGATTCCCAGAACGAAATTCAAAAATGCATCCATAGAACGCGAATTCCAGAACCCAATTGTAAGATTTTTTATTTTATTTATGAAAGCTTAGCTCAATCCACATTCTGCATGATATCCTCGGCAGTGAACTTGGTCCCCTTGTCCTTATCTGCAGCGACGCGTCCTTTCGCCTTCCGCTCGAGCAGCGACTTCCGGTCCTTGTCGAGCTTCAGCTTCGTGATGACAACCTTCGACGGGTTGACCCCGACATTGACCGTGGTGCCATTAACCTTCTCCCGTGTGATCCTCTCGATGTGGATCACCCACTTCCGCCGGTACACCTGCACGATCTTGCCCTCGCGCCCCTTGTACGAGCCGCGAACCACCTGGACCTCGTCGTCCTTTCGGACCGGCATCGACCGCACGTTGTACTTCTGTCGGAGATCGCCGGAGAGAGGCGCGCTCATCAGCACACGCCTGACGCTCGATGGCGCCGTGAAGTGCGCCTTCCGGTTCTTCCGCCGGGACGAGCTCACTCTCGGATTGTACTTCATTTTCTTCCTCTGCTCTCAGAATTAGGGTTTCGGCTAAGAGGTTATTTATATATGAGAGCGGGTGAGGAGCGAAACGACGTCGGTTAAACTATCGACCTTTACCCTATAGCACCGAGCTTGATCAATACACTTATTGGGCTCCCTATTTGTGGGCTTATTGGGCCCAAACTAAATTTATCACTAAAATGGACCTTATAAAAATGGGCTCCCTTAGTGATATTATCATATATATAAAAGTTCTGTTCTCTACTCTTTTTTTTTTGTAGATGTTTTATAAAGTCAAAACTAATTAATATAAAACATTAGTTACAAACTTTGATTTTTACTGTTGTTTTATTTTATAGTAAAAACTAGAAACTAAAATATCATCAAGAAGCATGAAATTTTGAATAAAAAAATACTCGGAAATTCAAAAAAATCCACGATAATAGGTAAAAAAAAAGATTAAAAGTCATGCATAATATTATTTATTTCATTGTAGGGAATTAAAAATTCCCAGAATTTTACTGGGTTTATGTCTAGTTTACCAAAATTTGCTCTCTTTGCACAATTTTTCCTCCTCTAAACTTGATTATGGTGCATTGGCGTTCATTGTTTACATAATATTAATTTACACTATTTTATTTTATAAAAAAAACAAATGGGGTTTGTATCACTTTTTTATGCATTTTGATGATCGATATAAATAGTGGCAAATGTCGTTGTCAAAATGTAAGGTTTTGTTTTATGTTTTTTTTTTACATATTATGGCCGCTGTTTTATTTCGAGTCGCTATTGTTTTTTGTATTAAAACTTGGAGTCATGAAAGAGAAAGCATTTCAAAGCAATGTTCAATTATAGATAAACAGATGGTACTTAATTGCTTTACATAAAGGCCTTGCTTAAACTTTTCTGTGATTGATGGGAAAATCCAATAATTATATATGTCCAAGTTAAAGCTAATCATCCCTTAATTAACGAAATTAATTTCATTAACTTTAATAATAAAAAAAAGGTTGCATGGCGACTTAATTTGCTCAGCTGTCAGAATTTTTTTGTCAAATAAGAGTCTGTCTTGTGCCAAATTAAGAGCAAATTAATTGCTAAATTGAACATTGTATATCGTTTTTTCAATTAATTTATTATGTGAACCGTTGTAATATACGATATATATGCTAATAATTTATGTTACATTTTAAAAATTACAGTGCTAGAAACATGAAGACAGTGTGCAACGACAGCTATGGAGAAAACAGATGAAACATTGGATAAAGGGACAAAGAGGCAAAGCGTGGAGTTTCATCTAATGATTGAGGAAGAAAACCCATGGAAACACGAGACGTAACACCGAGATCGAGGGACACAAACAGCGTAATTACACGTTTAACAAAGTAGAAACATTTCACGCGAGACATTAGAACACAAACCCTAACCATAACCTACGGGAATCTCCCTAGTTCTTGCAGTTTTTGCATGTATAGGAAACCTTTGGATTTTTATTTTAAATTGTTTGATTAGAGATGTCGGAAAATTTGATAATACACCTTTTTTAGACGAAGAAAACAACTTGGTCAATTCGTAAGTGCATTTCTTGCCCAAAATCAAGTGTGTTCCAAAAAAAAATAACTTCAATAAGTGTAAACGGTATATGATTAGGGTTTAGGGAAGATAACATGAGCTTTAGATTTGAGACAAAATTCAGACAGATCTTTTTAGGGGTTTATTGGGAAAACGATCATCATCATGAGCCTGTACATACTGCCTCGGTTAGGTATATATATATATATATTGGTATACACATTAAAACATGCACCACACAAAAAACAATGGCAGAGAATGTTAGTCCCTATAGCTATGGGAAGAAATCAAGATAAAGAGGCTCAGACAACTAAATATTATAATCAAAGTGGGGGGTTTCAAAACTAAGAAACAAGCGAGCATGCATGCCCTAGATTTTGGAAAAAAAATCCATAATAATTACAGCTTATATATGTTCAAGTTGAGGACTATAGAATATGACACATTGGTTTTTTTTTACGGGTTAACGTGGAAAAAAGTTGAATAAAAATCATGAATATAGTAATGATATAAGATGATTAAAAAATAATAATAAGCAGAATCATAGAAAAGGAAAAAAAGAAGGGCAGAGACTGCAGAGAACAAAGGAGGCAAAGAAATGTGCCTTTGATGAAGCTGATGCACGCCGGCAGCTTTACTCCACGCCTGCTTCCACTCACTCACACCTATAACATTCTCTCTCTCGATATCATTTATATATATATGTACGGGATAATATAATATATACTCGTATACATTTTATATGTAAAACTCGTTTAATCGCATATATGTGCCACTTAGAATATATTTTTTTGTTACATACACATACTTACATTTGAATAATACATATATCCATGAAAAAAATTGCAACTATATATGAATATGTATGTATACACATTATAAGATGGCGAATCGGGTGGATGTGGAAAAAAACGAGGGAAAGCAAACCCACTGAGGCATTAGGTGAAATTTATAATTGACCTTCTTATTGACATTTGTATTATTTTCATTTTTTTTCTGTTTTCTCGTCTTTTAGGAGACATAAATTCTATTCATGTAACACCAAAGTTGGGCTAACTAATCCATCGTCGTCATCATCTCACCCCTTCCCTCTATCTCTTTTATTTTATTTTTCCACAAAGTAAACACATATTTTATATATCCTAAACCCTTTTCTTGGACAATTATCCCTGCCCAATTAAGTTTTCAATAAAAAAAATATCCTATATATATATATATATATATAATTACGCAAAACTCGATTATAGCATGTAATCTGAGTCAAAAAAGAGAAAGAGGGAAAAATCCAAGGCAAAAAGATTCTCTCTTGATGCTTTTTTTTTTGTTGTAACATTTACCTATACATTCTTTTCAATGTTAAAAACTTGAATCCATCCACTACACACCTCTTCCCACTCAAGAACATTCACCCACTCCAAAAGCTTTAATCCCTCCCCCAACCCACCAAAACCCCACCCTCCCCAAAAAAAAAAAAAAATACTAGAGCGACATGCAAACCCTAGCTTTGCAATAAATCTTGATATGTAAGGCAGCGTAGTGTAGTGTGTGTATTCATTTTCTTATTCGTTTTTTTTTTAAATGGATACACTCTTTAGACTAGTCAATCTCCAACAACAAGAATCCGATAGCATCATTACAAATCACTCGTCGCTGAGCAGAACCTCCACCACAACTAGTGGCTCTCCGCATCATTTCCTCCAACATCACGACGAAGAATGCTTCAACTTTTTCATGGATGAAGAAGACCTCTCCTCTTCTTCCTCCCGCCAACACCTCCAACACTTCTACTCCTCTCCCTACCCTCCACCTCACTACCCATCTGCCACGTCAGCACCCTCCCTCCCCTCGCCCTACTCCTCCTCCTCCTCCCCCCACCACCACGTCCACGACCCTTCCGCTTTCTCCATCCCTCCAACCCTAACCTCCTTCGACTTCTCCTCCAATGGCAAGTGGGCCGACTCTGTCTTGCTCGACGCCGCTCGTGCCTTGTCCGAAGGCGACACCGTTCGGTTGCCTCAGGTTCTCTGGATGCTCAACGAGCTTGGTTCCCCTTACGGCGACACCGAGCAGAAGCTCGCGTCTTACTTCCTCCAAGCTTTGTTCAACCGCATGACCGGCTCCGGAGAACGTTCCTACCGAACCATGGCTGCAGCCGCAGCGTCTGAGAGGACTTGCTCGTTCGAGTCAACGCGCAGGACCGTCCTCAAGTTCCAAGAAGTCAGCCCATGGGTTACGTTCGGCCACGTGGCGGCCAACGGAGCGATCTTGGAGGCCGTAGACAGCGAACCGAAGATCCATATCGTCGACGTAAGCTCCACGTACTGCACCCAGTGGCCGACCCTCCTCGAAGCCCTGGCCACTCGCTCCGACGACACGCCTCACCTGAGGCTCACGACTGTAGTCACCTCTAATAAGCTTGTTAACGATCAAACAGCGTCGCATCGGATGATGAGGGAGATCGGCAACCGAATGGAGAAATTCGCGAGGCTCATGGGCGTACCTTTCAAGTTCCACATCATCCACCATGTCGGGGACTTATCCGACCTCGATCTCTCGGAGCTCGACGTCCAAAACGACGAGGTTTTGGCCATAAACTGCGTTGGAGCCATGCACGGAATCACCGCCGTCGGAAACCCTAGAGACGCCGTCATCTCGAGCTTCCGGAGGCTGCAACCGCGAATCATCACGGTCTTGGAAGAAGAAGCCGACCTCTCCGACACTGGAAACGACGGCGTTTCTTTCATGAGAAGTTTCCAGGAATGTCTACGTTGGTTTAGGGTTTACTTCGAGTCTCTTGAAGATAGCTTTCCAAGAACGAGCAACGAGAGGCTGATGCTGGAGAGAGCTGCGGGGAGGGCGATCGTGGACCTGGTGGCATGCCAGCCGTCGGATTCGATCGAGCGGAGGGAGACGGCGTCGATGTGGTCTCGGAGGCTGAGGAACGGAGGATTTGCTCCGGTGGGATATAGCGATGAAGTGGTGGACGATGTCAGGGCTTTGCTGAGGAGGTACAGAGAAGGCGTTTGGTCGATGGCACAGTGCTCTGACGCCGGAATATTCCTTGCCTGGAAGGATCAGCCAGTGGTTTGGGCCAGCGCGTGGCGGCCCACGTGATCTCCGGCGGCGGAGGAGCGGTGGCTAGGGTTTTCCCGCATGCACGTGCGATTCTTGGGATTGTTTTCATAATACGTGTGACAATATTATGGGTATATTGATATTAAATTATGGTTGAGAATTGAGATGGTGAGATCGCGTTCATATTGGATTTGGATTTCGGGTCTAATTACGATCATGAGAAAGCGATTGCTAGAGTCAAAATTCCTAGGTTTTTGTTTGATCTTCTTTCTAAAATTCAATTCTCCTTCTGAATTTGTGATTAGTTTGGTTACCCTAAAAGACTGGGATTTTCATTCAATGATTACTAATATTTTCACACGATATAAAATTTTTATGTTATAACTTATTAGTTATCTCAGTATTCGTAGAATAATTGTCATACCATCTATTATATAAATTACGATATTCAGTATTCGTAGAATAATACTTTGTTTTTCTTTCCTTTATAAAAAAACAAAGTATTAATTGTATAACAAAATTTAGTATATATATATATATATATCAGGAATAGATGCATGCTAATTTGGGTTTAAACGACTTCACGAGTTATCGGAATACGATTTGAATTATCTATGAACGCAAATCTATCCGGCACTGTTACATTGAACCAATGACGTCGTACAGCCCGATTGATATGGCCTTTTGTGTTAAAAGAATGAAACAACCTCAATCAATGCAATAAAGTGTGACAGAAAAACACACACCACACACATGTATAAGCCAATCAATATATATGACGAAAATTGAATATTTCAGGATTCAAGATCATGGACGGTGAAAACTTGTGGTTTGGGTATCTTAGGATAGTGCATATGATATATGGTCATATATATGCAATACATTGTCGATGACACGTCGCCAAATTAAGCTGTCAAGCCCAATTTCTACAAGATGGAGGGTTTCAAAGTTGACACTGGTTTAGTTATGAACCAGTGAATTTTTGAATCTGAATTTTGTTTAAAATAACCTATTTATTAAGAGCATAGAATATAATACATATATATATATGTATATATATATATATTATCAAAGAAAGGGTCATTATCTTCATCCTGGTCCTAATGTGGAATCATAGGACGGCTACTTGGCCGGGGAATATCTTTGGGGAATCTTATAAAGGTATCTCCTCCAGTGGCATGCACGTTTCATATACACTCTCTCATACACTACACACACAACAAAGCCCGGTGATTAATGGTCTGGCTTATTTGTTTTTTCGTTACAAGTTCGAATTTCAAATTTGGGGAGAGTGCGTATATTCCAAAATACCTGACTTACTTCCAATTCCGATATTAGTCTAGATCTTGGCCTAAGATATCCGATTACCAAAAAAAAAATTTGATAGCAAAATATAAATACACTTAAATTTTGATTTAAAAGTGTTATTTCTAATTCTAATGTAATAAGAAAATGTTATACACGCATCTCTATACATATAAGATAACTCGCACTATATTTTATTACCAAAGTGCTAGACAATGGTCGTCAAAGGGCATTAACCACTGATTGGACCTCGAACCATATTGAGCTCCATGGCTATATACGTGGATATAGATTTACATTTGCCATATATATATATATATATATCATACTATGTATAAATTAATAAGCAAAAGGTGTCATGGAACGATATTAATAGAAAACAAACTATTCGGCTTAATAAATGAGATATAGTCACCAATTAATTAATGTGGAGATGATTTTTAGATATATATTTACTCTAATAGTGACCAAATAATATATACGCAACGCATGCAAATGACCGTGGCCACCACCTTGTGTGCGTATGGCGAAATTACAAGGAGCAAATAATTTGAATTGTCATATTTAGAAAAAAAAAATAGGACAATTCTTTTAATAATGCATCTTTCAACTTTTGCTTTACAAAAAGAGGGAAAGGGACCAAGCTTTTATCGATTTCTTTCTCTTTGTGTCTGTATATATCTATCTACGCATAACACATGCACATATCTAAGAATGTACATGGCCCCCGCCATCATCATATATGTATATATTTTTTATATAAACAGCCCATAAAAAGGAAATAAACATGGATCCCTGCGTAATTAATATAATATTTTTGGGTTCAATAAATAATTACATATATATATATATATAAAGCAGTAGAACTGCTTTTGAGATGTGGTTGGTTTCGAGTCGGCCTACACCTTGTGATGGGTTTCGGCCTCCCTCCATGTTAACTTTGGTACGATCTTTGGCCTCGCTTTTTAAGCTAATAATATTTTTTCTATTTAATTTGTTTTTTTTTTTAATTTTATAACTTCTTTTGGTCTGTTTTTGTGTTTTTTTTTTTGTTGATAACATTGGGGAACCCCTGTGACTACCTACCCTTACAAACGTAGACGAACTGGCCACCACCCGCGCCTAACAGTCCCCATGGACCTCAGTCCGCCGAACCTGGCCACCAGGCGCGCCTAACGCTCGGGCCGTAATTGGGCTTAGGCGCCTGCGGGTCAAACCCCAAGCCCACGACGCACGAGCCTGCGACACACGCGTGGGATGTAAATCAGCCCGTTATGACAGGCTGGCAGACGAGCAGGTCAGATGGAAGAAGGAGCGGCAGGAGGATTCGATCCCCCCACCTCAAGGAGTTGTCCCCCTGCCTTCTGCCACTTGACCTGGCCCGAAGGGCCTGTTTTTGTGTTTTTAAAGTCATGCAAAAGTGAAATTATAAAACCAAGTTGGCCCATTGTCTCTTTAAGGTGAATCAATCTGTTTGGGCCCCCTGTGTACAGCGACGTGACAAATACACGTCTCTGTATACATTTTTTTTTTGTCAAAGTCTCCGTATATATACATTTTGAACATGTTTTTTGTTTTCTCCATAATTCTATCACTTTGTTTGTAACAAACGTATTAAGGTAGAGCTATATTTATCGGCAAAAAGTTGTACATATTGATTAAATGCAGAGTATTAAACACAAGCTTTCAAAAAGCTCTGTGGAATTAGTTTAAGAAATCATATACTATATAGTTTAATTTGTATATCTCACTCTTTCAGAGAGGAGAGAAGACGAAAAGGGGATCGTAGGATTCAAAATATAAAAAGGCGAGGAATGGTAACCACTCGATCATTTCATGCTTTCCGAAAATTCCGGAAAAAATTGTTTTTTTTTAATAAAAAAATTTATATTAAATTTTGAAAACTATCCGCTTTGTAAGAAAGATAAATAAACCTTACCAAAAATAATAAGAAGCAATAACTAAAACCCAAAAATCCCAAAACCACAAAACAAATATTCTACGTTCAAGACCATACTTATCCACAAATTCAGTGTGGGCCGACGTTGCTTTATTGATGGGCCTAAATTCCTGAGCTCGGCCCATTTTATTTGACGACAGAAAAGTGAGGGCAAATGAAAGTATTTTGAGGAACGACAAAAACCCTAAATCAAAACCCTCCCAAAAATGCGCTCTCCGATCACCGGTTCTCTGTCCAGATCCCTAGTTTCCCTCTGTCGTCCGAGGCCGGCATGCGCCGGTAATCGCCATCTCTGCACCGCGACGGCGACGGTGAACTCCGCCGAGACGCGTACGCAGAAGTTGGAGCGGATCGCCGACGAGCTACTCGATCTGAACAAGCTTGAGCTCTATGATTACTCCGTCCTCTTCCGGCTCAAACTCGGCCTATAAGAGCAAAATCAAATATTGCCGGAGCTGCGGCAGCCGGCAGTTCCACCGACGCCAAGGCGGCGGAGAAGACGGCGTTCGACGTGAAGCTGGATAAGTTCGACGCTTCGGCGAAGATCAAGATCATAAAGGAGATAAGATCGTTCACGGATCTGGGATTGAAGGAGGCGAAGGACCTTGTGGAGAAGGCTCCGGTGGTTGTGAAGAAAGGCGTGACTAAGGAAGAGGCCGATCAGATCGCAGAGAAGCTCAAGGCGGTAGGTGCCACTGTGGTATTGGAATGAAAACGGATCATGTTCATGGACGCTGATTTTTCCTGGTTTTCAACTTCATTGTCGAATAATTTGTTAGTTTTCGGGTTAATTAGCCCACAACTCGGAGAATCTTAGAGATCCGGTGATCTTTTTTATGTGGATACGAATTCATAGGTGGATTGGATGAACATAGTAATCGATCAGAATGAAAGATTCTTTTTTTTTTTTTGGAGGATTAGCGAATTGAGTCATAGAACTACGCCATTGTCAATGTAAGGGTTGAGATTTGATTAGAAACTGTATTGCTTGGGTCGAACGAACTTGAGTTGGATTGAGCATAGTTTTGGATGTGCATCAAGACCTGCACTTTGTTCATAACTTCATGTGAGCAAATTGCAGAGAATATGAAATTGAAATTGAAATTGGAACAGTTGCAGAATTAGAAAGATGGGTTCTTTTTCATTATCTCAATGCAATCTGCATGTTCACTAGTTCACAACTACTTGAAACTCAATGGCAGCCAGCAGGCAGCAACTTCATTTGTCTATGTTCAACACCATGGTCAGGTTTGGGCTTTTGATCAACCTGCTGAAGTATACTAGGCCCATTTCTAATCGAGTTGAAAGCCCAATGGGTTTTATTTTTCTCCTTAAGTCCACCCTCTTTTTATCGTGGACATTTTCATTTTCATTCCAACTTCCAATTATATTTTTTTTTCTAAAATTCTAAAATTATATTCGAAAATAATCTAACCAAAATCTGTAGTAAATTAGCATTTTCGTCGATTTGTTCATTTTAAAAAAACTATCGCAAGTTTTATGTCGCACATGTTTAAATTGTATGGAATTTTTTAAATAAATATAAAATATAAAATATATTTTTAAAATTTAAATTGTATGTCAAAATTTTCATATCAAATAAACAAATTCGAATAACAGATAGAAAGTACGAATTTCGAAAAATTCAAACACCAAAGAAACGGGAGAAAAGGATGGTAGCATCTAAAAAAAGAATATATCCAAATTATCCGAATCAATATAATAATATTCCTTTTGTCTTACGAAAGCACCAAAGAGTATTACACCATTCCAGATATTTATGGTTTTTATTCGACGATGCGTGCGGGTAACAGAGAAAATGTATTTGTAATGAACCTCACTTTTAACGTAATCCATGAAATTGAAAGTTTCCATATCTTTAGTTTTTTTTTTGTATTTTATATACATCAAATTTTGTGGAAAAAATAGATATGCGATTATTTGTGTTTATTAATTAGAAAACACTAATCTGCCCAAAATCCCATAAATTTAATCATTGTTTACATGTCTGAATTTTCATTATTTTATATTAAACATGTTTTTTTTTGTAACAAAGTTAAAAAGTATAAAATATGGGATTCAGGTTGCATTTAAGGTACCCGATTTTATACTTTTTACTGTGTGATTCAAAATTCATATTTTCAACATGAAAAAGTGTATATATCTCTATATAGCAAAGTTACTATACATGAGTTTAGGACTGAGTCGGATATCAACAATTTTGGAGATACCGTCTTCGTCTTCATTTTCGTAGGTTTCATGAAAACAATATCTCATTCTCTATCTCATTAACACCGGATACCCGTCAATCGGGTATCCGTGATTAACCCGTACCCGTACAATATATATTTTAAATAAATATAAACCAAATATTTAGTAAAATTATATTATTTAATTCAAAAATAGATTTAAAATATAAAATATATATATATCTTTGAATATATATAGATTTTTAATTTTTTTTTAAAATATATATGTTAATTTTTAAGAGTTAAAACCTAATATTTAAATAAATAATTAAAAAAATATAGAAATATTTGATATTTTTATATATTTATGGATATCTAATAGGTACCCATCTTCGAAACAATGAAACCTACATCCGTCTTCGTTGTCATTTTTATGTACCGGTCTTCGTCTTCATTCAGTATCCGTTTTTCAGATATCCACGAGATCGGGTATCCGCGAATCCACAGATAACGGGTATAAATACCCATCCCTACATGGGTTTTGTTTTGTATAAAAGATAAGAGCTCCTAGCGGCGTTTCTGGCATAAACTCATCAAATTTGACAAGTAAAAAAAATATTAATTTACTCTTGGAATAATTTGAGGGTTAAAAAATCCTATCAGAGACGAACGAGATCCAAAAATTAAAACCGCCTCCAAACGAAATAAAACAAAAATAAGGGGTCCCACCTTAAAAAAATATAAAAATATCTCAGGACGACGATCCCTCGTGGCATTCAGGGCCTGCCTGCTTCTCCTCATCGTTCGTTGTGTATTGATCGATTTCGTGGCAAATTCGGTCACCACCTTCGACGACGATCTCTAAAGATATCTTTGGAATCTCCGCCATTTCTCTTCTCTATCTCTCTCTCCCTCTTTCTCACGCGCGGTGATTAAAGATCTTCTTCAATCGGTTATACTATTTTTTAGGAATTTTCTCCTCGGCATTGAATAGGTAAGATTTCTCGCCCTTTCTAGCCAATTTTCCTTTTTTCCTTTTTGAAATCGAATACAATTTGTCAAATGATATCCTTGGTTCTTGATTTTCTGGGGATTCGTCTGAAGAACACCCATCTGGGTTTTGTATTCTCAACTAGGTTTTCTTCAAAATTCTGGTTGTTTTCTTCTTCCTTTCTTTTTGTTGGGTCTGAGCTAAATTTGCTTAACCCCTTCATGGTTCTTTTCGGATATTTGTTGTGAGAAATGATTTTTTTATTGGAATTCATGGACTATTTTTTTTTCTTTTCATATCATTGCTTGTTCTTAAGATTAAGCTGAAATTTGCAAATTTACCTGATATCCCCGTTGCATTTCTTCGTTAGTCCATTGGTTCGTGTAGATCGATTTCCGCGTTTCCCTTGCGACAGATGATCTGGGATTTCCTCTCTGCCGGAAAATTTTGTCTTTGACTCATAACTCGTGAATTGGTTTGGTCGAGAACCGTTTTGATTGATTATACGCTGTCCTCTGTGATAGTACATGTAGAGAGAATGAAGGGTGAGACAGAGATTAGGGAAGAGACACAAGCTTCATCCGAAACTATGGAGAAGCAAAAGGAGTCTCAACCAAAGGAAGGGAAAGGGAAGAGACTGTGGAAGAAGGTGAAGTATCAGCTCGTAGAATACCACTCGTTGCCCGGTTATTTGAGAGACAATGAGTTCATTGTCGGTCACTATAGATCCGAATGGCCGCTGAAGCAGATTCTCATCAGTGTCTTTACCATCCACAACGAGACTCTCAATGTTTGGACGTAAGATTTTCTACTTCTCTACCATTAAACATCTTGAATTCATCGACTTTGAGCCGCTTCGCTTGTCATATGGGGGATTTGGTAAATGCATTAGTCACTGTTCGTAGGTGTTTTTTCGTTGCAGGCACTTAATCGGGTTCTTCCTGTTTCTTGCACTCACCATATACACGGCCAAGATGGTGCCGGGCATGGATCTTCACTCTCTACAGCATCGCATTCCGGACGTTTTGCGAAAGGCCGATCTTCACAAACTGCATTCTGATCTGGTGACATGTCTTCCGTCTTTACCCCACATGCCCGATTTGCATCGGCTTAGACATGATCTCAAGACTTCTCTGCCCTCTGGTCGGCATGTCATGGAGCTTCTTTATAACTGTTTGCCCGAGAGATTCTCTCATGGCAACTACACTGACATGTGTGTCTTGGTAAAAAAAAATTGCCACCCTTTTCACATACTTATGGTCGTAGTCTCGCTACTCGATACCATCTTTGTTGTATGTATATAACATTGTCTGATCATCATGATGAATGCAGCACTCGGTGAAGGAGGACCTCGTGAACATAATAGCACCTCTACTGGCGCGGCCGATAACCCGATGGCCATTCTTTGCATTCTTAGGCGGTGCGATGTTCTGTTTATTAGCCAGCAGCACATGCCATCTCTTCTCGTGTCACTCGGAAAGAATCTCTTACATCATGCTGAGACTAGACTATGCCGGAATAGCAGCCTTAATCTCCACTTCCTTCTACCCCCCAGTGTACTACTCCTTCATGTGCGACCCTTTCTTTTGCAATCTCTACTTAGGGTTCATCACCATCCTCGGCATTGCCACCGTTCTGTTTTCGCTCCTGCCCGTTTTCCAGAACCCCGAGTTCCGCACCATCCGGGCCTCGCTCTTCTTCGGGATGGGACTATCTGGCGTGGCACCGATCCTGCACAAGCTCGTCCTCTTCTGGGATCAGCCCGTGGCGCTTCACACGACAGGGTACGAGGTTTTGATGGGCTTGCTTTACGGGATAGGTGCTCTTGTCTACGCCACTCGGATCCCGGAGAGATGGATGCCGGGGAAATTCGATATAGCCGGCCATAGCCATCAGCTGTTCCATGTCCTGGTGGTGGCTGGCGCGTATACTCATTACAGGGCCGGGTTGGTCTACCTCAAATGGCGCGACCTCGAAGGTTGTTGAAATTATATGTCACAAACTGTGAATTGTGTGTATTCGAGGGATCAGGAACATTTATCCAGTCTTCGTTGACTCTTGATCCTACGGCTCTCCTTTGTATCGGTGAAGTATGAATTTTTTTTTAAAAAAAGTGAATATAAAAAAACTTTATTAAAAAAGCAATGTGAAGAAATTGTAACGGTCGGGCCAATCTGGGGGGGGGGGGGTCAGCTTTAACTTCGTGACAGGTAACACAACTTGGCCTCGTATCTCGTGCCTCATAAATCTGGGGATGCCGGAAAATGTGGCTCTTGGACCTTAGATCCCAATCAAAATATTTGCATTTCTTTTATTTTTACGTGCATGCAGTGAATTTACGAATTTTATTAATTATTATTTTTTGTTTTCGTTTCAGATGTGAATAATATTTTGTTGACTTATTTTTAATGCGCCCAAAAAGATTTGATTGTCGTTAAAGCGGACAATCTAAATGAATATTAAGCCGAAGCTTTTTGAAAGCCTAAACTGCGGGGAAATTTTCATCTCCGGCCCCTAAATTGTCGGTAGAATCTCACATGCTATCGTCTACGTGTCATGATCCATAGCTCGACACGTAAGCTCATTCAAACACTTCACTCTTCGGCGCATCTTAGCAACACGACCGTCGGTGGACCGACGCTTACTCTTCTATTTTTTTTTCTCTCGCTACGGTGCGCCAACCAACTTGACAAAACACGTTCGAGATTGCGACCAACTAAGATCCCATTCCCATATATATATATTATTGCAATAAATTCTTATCATGTAATGTAATAAATAAATACTATAAGAGCAAAATCAAATATGTTATACTATCTTTGTATACCCTTTTTAACCATGCATTTAGTAGTCTAGTGTTCTAAATGTAGAGATAAATTTGCCATTATATGGTAATAATGCATGTATGGGAAAAACAGTCGAATCGCATACCCCAACTGTTTCTTCTTTTTTTTTTTTTTTCCTTTCCATTTTTTTGAGGGGGAATTGTATATCCCCTCTCTCACTAGATATTCAGATTAGTGGTCCGACCCGACGAATCTTCCCTTTTTTCCTTCACCTGGATGGCCTCGCCTGAAACGCCGCATTCCCGGTCAGCGCCCATGGGAAAATACGGCGGAGCCAGAACCAGAGCCACCGTCTGTTTCTCCGACGGCCTCGTCTTCCTGGGCGGAGCTCTCATGGCCCTCCTCCTCGTCTGGTCCTTTTTCTCCTTCTCTCCTTCCCCCAACATCGGCGTCAAATCCGACGACGACACGCTAAAATGCAGTGGATGCTCTCGCGGCGTTGACCTCCGGTATGACCCGCCCGACCCGGTTTTCTACGACGACCCGGATCTCAGCTACTCCATCGAGAGACCCGTCAAGGGCTGGGACGAGAAACGGAGGCAGTGGCTCGAGCTTCATCCGTCGTTCAAACCCGGAGCGGCGAACCGGGTCGTGATGGTGACGGGGTCGCAGTCGACACCCTGCAAGAATCCGATCGGAGATCACCTCTTGCTCCGGTTCTTCAAGAACAAGGTCGATTACTGTCGGATCCACGGCTACGACATCTTCTACAGCAATTCACTGCTTCACCCGAAGATGGGTTCGTACTGGGCGAAGCTTCCGGTGGTGAAGGCGGCGATGCTGGCTCACCCGGAGGCCGAGTGGATCTGGTGGGTCGACTCGGATGCGCTCTTCACGGACATGGACTTCACCATCCCTTTCGACCGTTACCGTGACCACAACCTCGTCGTCCACGGTTGGACGGACCTCGTCTACAACCAACGGAGCTGGACGGCGTTAAACGCCGGCGTCTTCCTCATGAGGAACTGTCAGTGGTCGATGGAGCTGATCGACACGTGGACGGGGATGGGGCCCACGAGCCCGGAATACGAGAAGTGGGGGGAGATCCAACGGTCAATATTCAAGGATAAGCTGTTCCCGGAGTCAGACGATCAGACGGCTCTGATTTACTTGCTGTACAAACACAGGGAGGTGTACTACGATAAGATATACCTCGAAGGAGCGTATTATTTCGAAGGGTACTGGTTGGAGATCGTGTCGGGTTTGGATAACGTGACGGAGCGGTACCTGGAGATGGAGCGACAGGACGCCACGTGTCGAAGGAGGCACGCGGAGAAGGTGAGCGAGCGATACGGTGCGTTTAGGGAGGAGAGGTTCCTGAAGGGAGTGGCGGGAGGGAAAGGGAGCGTCAGGAGGCCCTTCATCACGCACTTCACGGGGTGTCAGCCCTGCAGTGGGGACCACAACAGGATGTACAACGGCGACACGTGTTGGAATGGGATGATCAGAGCCCTTAATTTCGCCGATAATCAGGTGATGCGTAGCTATGGATTCGTACACTCGGATCTACGCAAGACCTCCCCTCTCCAACCTGTGCCGTTCGATTACCCCGACGAGCCTTGGTGAATGGCGATGCTGTTGTTATTATTGTTTGATTCCCTTTTTAATACCCTTAGATATGTAACCTAGTTTTGAGGTTCATAATGATGGATATTATTCCTAAAAGTTCAATGTCAAAATCTTTTTTTGAGTAATTGGGTAATCCTTGATTTATGATTTTCTTTGAGATAGTTGTCTATACAAAGGAGAAGACATGATCACAACAAATTAATTATGTGAGATTCATTATCCATGTACGGGTGAAGACATGATCTCCTTCTTTCTTGTTCATCATTCTTCTCTTGTTGTTTCTCTTTTCGAAAAATATCATTCCTTTTGGTGGGTTTTGAATTTGATGTTTTTGTAAGATTAGAACGAAGAATTTAAGGAGAAAAACTGGTACATGGAGATCATCATGTAGATGCATATTAGATGTATCTGAATATTTGGGTACATGATTAATAATAAGGTAAATTGTCAAAAAAATCTCGTACTCTTTTCGACTCAACGAAAAAATCGTTTACTTTTTTGTTTACCAATTAAATCCTATATTTGGTGTTATTAACCCATAAAACACTAATTTTTTTTTTTAAATTCACCGAAAAACCTATGTGTTCGCCAACTCAAACAAAAATGATAATATGTCAATGATAGGTTTCCAAGTGATGCACACATCATCATAATTATATCACATTATCATTTCAAACAAAATTTAAATTAAATAATTTATTTAAATTAATATATACATATATATATATATTAAATATAAAATTATTTATAACTAATAAAACACATATATACATATCTACAATATATATATATTATAGATTATATTATAAGTAATATATATATACACATATTATTTTATATATGTATATATTTTTTTTATATTAGTTATAATTACTTTTATTTTAATATAGATATTAGTTGAATATGCATTATATATATGTATATATGCTAGTTAACTAACATATATACATATAATAAATTTATATATACATATAAATTTATATGTACATATAATAAAAATATATATTATATGTATATATATTAGTTATAATTATTTTTATTTTAATATGTATATTATGTATATATATATATATAATTAATTATAATTATTTTTATTTTAATATATATATATATATTAGTTTTTTTTTATGAAATGTGATTGAATTAATACCAAAGAAACAAATGTCATAGTATTTACAAATTAGAGATAGCTCTAAACAGATCTCCCATAAACAGATGGGGAAAATTACATGTTCCTACATGAAGTAATGCGATACCACTGCTGTAATAATTTGTTTTCTGTCGCGCCCGGATTATGGAGAGAGATTAGTTTGTTCCTCATGGTCCGATCAACCTTGAGTCTTGCTTGGTGGATAGTAAGATGTCGGTCTCTATGAATGCGAGAATTTCTTTCCATCCAAATGGTGTATGTGATAACCTGCGTGAGTAACTTCTTAATCGTAGCTTCGTCACGGTTCGTAGATTGATTGGTCCAATCCAGAAAGTCTCGGATATGTGTCTGAGGGGGTTCTTCCATTAGCCGTCCAAAGCGCAACCAAATCGAGCGACTAAATCTGCACCCAAAGAACATGTGGGGATGTGATTCCAAATCGGCGCAACATAGAATGCACCGATTCAGAGCTTGGATTCCCCACGTCTCGAGCCGGTCGGTAGTCGGGAGGCGTTCTTGGAGCATCTGCCACGTTAAGAACGCATGCCTTGGAGTAGCCTGTCGGAACCATGCTAAGCCACAGCCTTCGAACGCAGTTCCCGGAGATCTCAGTTGTTCCCATGTTTGCCTAGAGGAAAAGAAAGTCTTTCGAGTGCCTCCCATGTGTCGCCAGGTTGGGAGGTCCGGACCAGCATCATTAGTCGGTGGATTCAGCTCTAGCAGCTTCAGATGTAGCTCTTGTATTCTATTGCTTCTCGCCGGCGGAAGAGACCAATTGCCGTTGCGTACAACATCGGCTACAGTGGCACTCTTCGGCAACCGCAGTAGACCTGGTCATGTTTCACCAATAAACACAATGAGAGGGCCAATATCTAGCCAAGAGTCATACCAGAATGATGTATCTCTCCCATTTCCGAGCTTGACTCCAATGAATTCCCGGGCCTGATTGCGCATCTGTAGTAGTTTACGCAGATTCCAGCTCACATTTTGTTGTGCCTTGAGTCCCCAGTAGGATTTTTCCTTGAATGATATATTAGTTATAATATATATATATATATATATATATTGTAGTTATGTGAATATATATTTTATTAATTACAAATAATTTTATTTTAGATATATATATATATATATGAATTTATATGCATATATCTTAATTAAGATAAATTATTTAATTTAAATTTTATTTGAAATGATGATGTGATATAATTATGATGATGTGATATAATTATGATGATGTGTGCATGATTTCGAAGACATATCATGGCCATATCTTCATTTTTATTAAGTTGACAGATTCGAGAAATTTTCGGTGAATTTTTAAAAAATTCAGAATTTTATTAATTAATTATATCAAGTACAAAGTTTAATTGATAAAAAAAATAAGTTTTTTTATATGCCCTTAATAATATTATATAGCAGGCATGGTTAAAATATGGTCTTATATAGTCGGTGTTTGCGCAGGGGAGTTTCACATAAATGGTTCAAACGAAAATCGAGTCAGAAAAAGAAAAGGAGATTAATTATCCAACGGAAAAATTTTGGGGTCGGATATAGTTTTCAATAATAATCGTGATATTTATTTGATTTTCTTTTTTCTGCATTTCGTCGCATTATGAAGTAAAAACACATCCCAAAAGGAGATCATAAGTAGCCTTGTTCGAAGAGCGATGTAACACAATCATCAAACATCTCCTCAAGAGACTTGAACTTCAACCCGAGGCTCGTTATCTTCGACGTATTATAATCATAATGCAGCTCCTTCGTGTCTTCAATCCTTGAAAAATGTTAATCTTTGTTTTAGTTAATGCATAGAAAAAATATATACATATATATATCAAAATTAAGGGTTATTTCAGACAAAAAAGCTAACCTCGTGGTGGCGATGGGGAGTGATGGGTAACGAGCCGAAAACAAGGAAACCAGCTGGTCGAGGCCGACCACGGCCGAGCTGCATAAGTATCTGCCTCGAGCCGCTTTGTGTTCGTAAACAAGGATGTGGGCTCGTGCCACGTCATCGATGTGGACATATCCCATTCTTTCAGGCCATTCGAGCTTGTTTGTTTCCCCTGTTTGTTGGTTACGAATCTTGAAAACATGTATGGAAAGGGACGTGGTGGAAAGAAGGAGGAGAAGAAGAAGTCACCTTTCAGCAATCCGAGGACGTCAGAGGCCGTACAAGAGAGATGTGAAGGTAGGCTCGGTCCTATGACAAAGGCAGGCAACACAGTGACGATATCGATCCTGTTTTCTCGGCTGAATTTCCACGCAGCTTGCTCGGATAGAGTCTTCGATAACGCATACCACATCTTTAGCTCGCCGTGAACGCAATACACCATTTTAGCTTATCATTTCCAATGCATTAATCAAAGCAAACAAGAAATTGATTGATGCGGTTATATAACACATGTTTTAAAACTTTAAGGATACCTGAAGACGTTGGCAGAGTTCAACGTCAGTCCAAGATGACTCATCGAGAGGAGTATTGGGATCAAAATCGTCTCTGATCCTCGCTGTCGAAGAAGAAGACGTAAGAACCACACGCCTTAGTGATGGATTCTTCTTGCACGAACGCAACACGTTCAACGTGCCCTCTATAGCCGGCTTCAATAACTCCGCCTAATCGGCGAACAGAGGGTATATATAGCAGTCGATACACACGTAAATACATACATGCATGTAGGTAGGTTTAGTGATGTGAATGACATGCCTGTGGATCAGAAGAGTGAGAGAGCACAGGTGAAGCAGTGTGGAAAACGCCCTCACATCCCATAATGGCTTCATCGAAACCTCCTTCCTCCATTAGCTCAACCTTCACCAAGTGAAGTCTCTCCTTCGCCCCTTCCATCTCCCAGAGGTGGGCATGTTTCTTCTCGTTCCCTAGTCAGAATCCATTACTGTGAAATAAGGCAAAGGGGGGGGGGGGAGAGAGAGAGAGAGAGAGAGAGAGAGAGAGAGAGAGAGAACTAGGATCTCTGACTGTTCCAACGACATGATATCCTTCAAGGAGAAGCTGTTTCACAAGGCATGAAGCCAAGTAGCCCGAAGCTCCCGTTACACAGACTTTGCCTTTTGCTTGATTCATTTGTTTCCTCCAATGTAGATGGGAATACCCTTGATGAATTATATACTTGTATATATATATATGTGTGTGCATTCCCTACTTTATAATTTCGTAGAGTGGACCACACAATTACTGAAATGGGGGTATTTTGAACGTTTTCTTAATGATGATTATGGAATTCATGTGACTGTGCCAAAGGTTCAGCGTCCTCGCACAACCTTTGACGAGTGCTGATCTTCCATAGCATTTTCCATGGAGATTTCTATCTTGGTTATTATTTATTCACATCTTGGTCTGTTGTGTATTTAATTTTCAATGCTATAGTCTTTACCTTGCAAATGAAATGCATTGCTTCATATTCACGAATCTTCCAAAGCCCCCAAATTAACCATGGGAACATTGCTCATGTATTTATATGTTGCTGTTTTTACTCATTTTTTTTATCCTTTTACTTCGAGAAATATGTAATAAAGTACGGGTTCAAGATTCAAGTAAAGAACAGGAGCTTCAACTATGATTGGGTCATTAGATAACCGGATAAATATCGATAAGTCCGCGCAACAATAAATTAATGTAATATCATTTTCAGCCTAACATACGAAAAATGAAATGTGAATAACGATTTCGCACACCAACTTTGAATTGAGACCCACTTTCACGAGTCTGCTATGCAACCACTCTCGAGAATAATTAAATTCAATTTCCGGGGACGAGGGTCAAATACAGGGCGCTTGACCCACGTTGAAAACCCTTCACATACACAACACATGCCCATCTATATATACACACATATACATACACACACGGCGCATTAATACCAGACTTCGCTTCAGATCCTGTCGTCGGAAGGCTGTTCCGTTATGGAAGCTACATCACACCTATCCTCGCTTCACTCGACCAGAAAGCAACCGGCCAAGCCCTGGAAGAAGCCTCCGTCCGCGCCGTCACAGCCACGGCATCCCAGAATCTACAGAGTCAAACCCGTTGACTTCAAGGAGTTGGTTCAGAAACTAACCGGCGCGCCCGAATCCCAGCCGCCATCGCACCCCGCAGGCGTTATGGCTGAACCCGTAGGACCCGGGCCATTGCTCGAGACCTTGGACACTGCCACTAAGCCGCTCGGGATCCCAGATGAAACGGGCAAAGAGAGTTTCTCGGGATTCGACCTGTCATCATCATCTCCTTCGTCTTCTCGGTTTTGGGATGCTTTCCCGCTTCTCAGTCCTGCAAATCTTTCCAGATGGTAGCAGAGGAACCAACGCTTTTCTTTCCTTCTTTTGCAAAGCTTTCATGTTTGAGATTCTTGATACACCCCTGTTGTTCCTCAAAACTGTTTGCAACAAAACATTAACAAATATACAAATGCCATTCTACAACTTGAACTTGCACATGCTCTTATCTCGTTAAAAACATCAAACCCGACACTCGAAAACAAGAAAAAAAGTGTGAAATGGTTATCGTATGAACACCTGGCAATCTACACAAAGTGAAAAACTTTCCGACCGGTGTTCTCTGCTCTAAGTTTGGATATTTCAGAATCCTCACCCTACTGATCCCAGTAGTTTCTTAGCTGTGACATGTGAAGGAGAAGCTCGTCTCTGCCCAAGCCGGATACACTGCTTGTCAAAATCCAAGGTGGATGTCGGGGATAGTTCTCTCTGATGATTTGTTGGAAGGTTTTGATGTTCTCGTCTGGCCTCTTCCCCTTCTTCATTTTGTCGCACTTTGTGAATACAAAGGTCATCGGTATCTGAAACAGATAGGAATCATCCATCATCAGACACAGCCCGGATAGATAATCACTTCAGAAGGGCAAGAGAACGAGTACAATAACCGTGGATATTCAAACTCAATTGCATACATACCAACACACATGTAATACGGGCAGTGTATATAGAGAAGTAAACACACATGGTCATACTAGAGAGAAGGCCTTAGCCTCTCAAACCGAACAGCAAGGAGGAGCTACATACATTGTTGCGGGCTAGCCAATTGGCACAGTCAAGATCTATCTTTTGAGGAGGAACGCTTGCATCGATCAGAAGAAGAACACCAACCAGAGTGTCTCTATTCAAAAAGTAGCCTTTCGTGAATGCAGACCAATCCATTCTTGCAGTGTCCGAAGCTTTAGCAAAGCTGCGGAAGAATTCCCCACGATTACACACCAAATCCAAACATCTTATGTAAAGTATCTAGAATCATGAACTATAAGTGTGTGCAGGAACAACATGCTAGAGATGAGATGATGCAAGTTTTCCATCTTTACTCGGGAAAAGCCTCCTAATTTTTTCCCAATTCTTGACAGATTTAAGATTAAAAAAACAAAATCATACGTACCCATAACCGGGCAAATCCACAATGTACCAGCTTTTGTTCACCAAGAAGTGATTGATAAGCTGAGTCTTTCCTGCGGAAAACACGATTACGAAGTTCAATGTAACAGCAACCCAATTTTGAACTCAAGCTGTGATTACAATCAAATCTGAAACTGAAACAGACCTGGTTTCTTCGATGTGAGCGCCACTTCCTTCTTACGGACCAAACAATTGATGAGTGAAGACTTGCCCACGTTAGACCGACCAAGAATCGCGAACTCGGGCCGATCGTCTTTCGGACAGTCCTTGGCCCGACCACTGCTCTTCACGAACTCGACCTCCCTGATCTGGGAATGACCCGCGAAGGGTCCGATGACTATATTCGAACCTGGAAGCACCATATCCTCCGTGACCTCCTCCGGGTCCACGCCCGGTGGTACGAACAATACAGAGCGAATGAACTTGGCCGCGTCGGAGATCGACCGTTTCGCGGTGTTCGCGGCCAAAGAGGTGGAGACATAACGGGTCAACGTCGAGTTATTGAACAGCCGGGTTGCATGAAATCGGCGAGATTGAAACGGCGACGAGGTTGGAGAAGCGAGATTGATTATCAGAGGCCGACATCGAAGGAGCATTTTGCCACGGTTCAGGGGGTTTAGGATCGGAGAATCGGAGATAGGGTTTTTGGATGTTGGTTGAGACCAGAAACGGACCTTCTGTCTCAGGCAGAAGCTTCCTGTAAGTCTATTACGTGCTCCGAAATAATAACGTTCAATGACCTTCGGTTTCAGACAGAAGTTTCTAAGTCTGTTTTATTTATGTGTTCCGGAATGATAACGTGGTCAATGACCTCCAGTTTCAGGCAGAGGTTTCTAAGTCAATGTTTCATGTGCATATTGGCATATATGTATTATGTAGAATTTTATTAAAAAACTAACTGTTTTCGACGGATATAATGTATGTTTGTAAAGAATTTGTTTCGAGATTTTGTATATAATTTGTTTTCACTGTCTAATCAAAACAATAAGAATTCTCTTTAATAGCTCAACTGGTGAAATTAGATACAAAGTGTTTAACACGTTTTGAATTCGAATCCCAAATTGGAAAGAGAATAATAATTCTAATTACATGATTTGATTCCAAACCCGAACTCGGCCAAAGACATCCGATTATAAAAAAAAAAAAAGTCTTCTCATTCAATTAATATTCACAATTTTGTATCGCCGTCATGGATGTTAATATCATGTATCATCCGGTTACCCCCAAAAAAAAGTCTTCTCATTCAATTAATATTCGTAATTTTGTATCGCCGTCGCGGGTGTTAATATCATGGGGCGACTGACCAGTGAAAGCAATATTACGAAATTATGATAAAGTTCCCTTACACTCACTGAGGCTTTTAATATGTGACTCTACGCACATACAAACATACATGCATGTATGTATGTATCTAACTTCCTCCATTGCGTAAACTTGTAACTAAGAATCAAAGCATGGATATATTTCCTTTATTCCGACAGGGCGAAGTTCTTTGACTAAGGCATGGGTAAAGAATGTCGTCTAAATAACTCTTGAATGTTTCTTTCTTCCACGAGTATGTTGTTGTTCACGGTGAATCAAAGAAATATTGATTGAAATTCGTATACTTGCTCATTTTCATTTTAAAATTGATTATATAATTATAAATTTATTAATATATATACAAAACCATGCAAATCGGTATTGTTTTCCCTTTAGATCGATATGCGTCTCTCTCACGAAGATAAGTCTTGCTTTTATAGAGACTGAGTGACCCCTCTCCCTTTTTTTTTTCTTTTTCTTTTTGGGTAACGCCCTTGCGAATAAAAATTCGAAACGTATGTCATCCTATAAGAATCTAAGATATCGTACCGAATTTTGTCACGTAAGAATCGGGCGCAACTCAAAATGTTGTAACACATATATACATACGTACGTACATACATACATACATACATACATACATACATACATACATACATACATACATACATACATACATACATACATACATACATACATACATACATACATACATACATACATACATACATACATACATACATACATACATACATACATACATACATACATACATACATACATACATACATACATACATACATACATACATACATACATACATACATACATACATACATACATACATACATACATACATACATACATACATACATACATACATACATACATACATACATACATACATACATACATACATACATACATACATACATACATACATGTGTATATATATGTTGCCTTAAGACTATTCAAAAGTACTCCTAGTTTATAGAAGTTCTTTACATGTGTTATATTTATTCAGAACTATAGTTGTTTCATATGGACATGACGATATTGATATATTCGTAATTTTAAATTTAAATGATGGAATAATTACATGCAATTTGTTAGTAACAAATTTCGAATCATTCAAAATTTTGCCTCCTTGAGATTTCACAATATTTCATATCAAGACAAAGTCACTCCATGGGAGCTTGTATTGATTAAATTTAATAGGGGATATCGCCATAAAAACCCTGTACTTTTATCAGGTTAACGAAAAAACTCTATACTTTTTTGTTTACCAATTAAACCCTATACTTGGTATGATTAACCAATAAAACCCCAAACTTGTTAATAATTCACCGAAAACCCCCCGCGGCTGCCAACTCAAACAAAAATGATGATGTGGCAATGACTTGACTTCCAAGTTATGTACACATCATCAAAATTATGACACATCATCATTTCAAACAAAAATAAATTACATAATTTATTTAAATTAATTTATATACATATAAATTCACATATATATATATTAAATATAAAATTACTTATAACTAATAAAACATACATATATATATATTATAAATTACATTAAAAATAATATATATATACATATTATTTGTTAATATATATTGTATATATATTATTTTTTAATATATAGTGTATATATTATTTATAATTACTTTTCTTTTAATATGCATATTAGTTGTATATATATATGTTACATGTATAACTAATACATATACATATACATATTATTTTTAATAGATATATTATATGTGTATATGTTAGTTATAATTATTTTTATTGTAATATGTGTATTAGTTATATATGTATATGTTATATGTATAACTACAATATATTACACACATAACTACAATACAATATATATGTATATTTTTTTTGATAAAATATATGTATATTATAACTAATACATATACATATTACAATAAAAATAATTATAACTAACACATACACATATAATGTATCTATTAAAAATAATATGTATATGTATATATATTAGTTATACATGTAATATATATATATATAACTAATATGCATATTAAAATAAAAGTAATTATAACTAATATATATACAATATATATTAAAAAATAATATGTATATATATATATTATTTATAATGTAATTTATAATATATATATATGTGTGTGTGTTTTATTAGTTATAAGTAATTTTATATTTAATATATATATATTTAATATATATATGAATTTATATGTATATAAATTAATTTAAATAAATTATATAATTTATTTTTGTTTGAAATGATGATGTGTCATAATTTTGATGATGTGTACATAACTTGGAAGCCAAGTCATTGCCACATCATCATTTTTATTTGAGTTGGCAGACGCGGGAGGTTTTCGGTGAATTATTAACAAGTTTGGAGTTTTATTGGTTAATCATACCAAGTATAGGATTTAATTGGTAAGCAAAAAAGTATAGGGTTTTTTCGTTGATCTGGGAAGAGTACAAGGTTTTTATGGCGATTTCCCCAATTTAATATAATCAATTGAGTTTTTTTTTTGGTAAATTATAACCAATATGAGTTGCATTGTTTCGATATGAAATCTAAATTTTATAATAGCATGAACTGCTCGTGTTTTGTAATGTTGATGAAAATAATTTTGGATGTGTTATTTTATATGTCTCATATTCATACTTTATTAACTTCCAATTCCATACCAAGAACTTCAAACTTAATAACTTTCAAAATATACAACCACATCATGCATATCATACATCATTAGAAAGATAATTTCGATATCTATGAAACGACATCAAGAACATGCAATTCTGATAACGGTATAGAAAGTTATGTTCAAACCAACATCATTATATCAATATGATTTTTAAAACCGGAAAACCAACTCCGAACCCACGACCAACCGTGTCTCCTTAAGAAAATTATTCCCCGCACGGTACCTACGGTTAAATGGAATATATCCTCCCAGGATAGGACGAATGTACCTCACCGGAACAGTGGTACTTCAAACTCCAGTACCTTGTCGAACTCAAAGCTCGGCTTGAATCACAAAGAGAAAATATGTGTTTTTTTTTCTTTAGAAAACTCTTATTTGTTTTTCTTGGTGCGTTGTATTGTGTCTAAAATATGAAAACAATCATCCTATTTATAGAATTGAAAAACTTGTAATATTTTAAAAAAGCCATAAATATATGTAAGTTTTGTAAATAAATTGGAGAGTTTAATTTGAAAAAACTCCAACAAATAATCGCGTCGATCCACCATTTGCATGCAAATTGTTCTTGGTAAACACATGTTGTGTGGGAAACCTGCCTAATATCTTTTATAGTACATGGATTTTTTTTATATCCACAAAATATTCAATGGACCGTCATATTTTTGTAACGAAAAAAGGAACGAAAGGCAACTGCTGAAAAGCTCTAATGTGGGAAGCTTTTTTTATTTGTGATATTAAAAATAATTATTTTCTTCGATAAAGTTTGAGTTCACATGAGACCGACTCCAGTATTCTGGCTATAAAGCATTGCATGTCTCTGTCTCTTCTTTATCCGTCGAACGCGTAAGTTCATGTGACCGTCCTCGACCTCCCTCTCCATCTTTCTTCTTCGAATTAAGATATTTTCTTTTCTGTATGGAAAAGTATTTGTGTGGTTATAAATCGAACCTTGATTTGTATGATTATAAAAACATCCACCCCTTACTATTTTTTTCGTATATATACACATACATATATGATATATAGCCTTCTTAACTGTGTATAAATTATGAGCAAATCGTGAATCTATGAGAAACAAACCTACTTCTCAATACCACGTTAAAACCAAAAAAAAAAATAAAGTCATTCTAGAATTCTGTAATCGTGTACCAACAAATAGATTTCCATCACACCTTTTGCTAATTGTATTTAAATTGACAAAAAAAACTTATGAAAGGGAAAAAGCAAACGCGCATATATATGTAATAATGTGTGTATATATATATGTGTGTGCTTTTTGGGGGGTAATTGATTTTCTTTACAGAAAGCGTGGGTCTCATGCAAAGCACCGGATGGCGATTCAATTGGAAATTTTGTGGTTAGATTCGCTGTTTCTTTTCCTAAGCTCCCTGCTTTACTTTTTTTTCACTTCAATGATGAATCTAGTGGCCTCTAGATTCCCCCACGTAAAAATTGGAAAGCAATTAATAACCAAAGCACATTTTATTATTTTAATCAACCAAAAAAAAAAAGATGAACCTCATTATTACCATCATCATCATCATCATCATCACCACCATCGGCAAAATAAGATTTATAACAAAGTATTATACACCATAACTTTATAAACCCAACTACCCACCACTAGATTAACATGGATTCCATTTTCCAAACAAATTTTATTAAGATAATATATATATA